CATCGAGATACCTTCTTTTCCTATGAAGATATCTTGTTTCAAAAAATTGTGTCTACAGGCGGGGAGTGCCATTTTGCTTTTGCTTTTCGTTGTGGTTTGGTTGTGTGTTGTTTCGTTAACTTCCAGATTCTGGGATATTAACGCACCAAACACCAGTTCATGGAGTAGTACCCTTTTATTTTGTACCTTACGTGTAGTTGTTTTGGTTTGGGTGCTACTCCGTCCATTTCTTATGGGATTCTAATCTTCAGCGGTAAGTTTTTCTTTTTTCTTATGCCATCGGACCACGTTAGTGCATATCCTTTAGAAGTTTGTTCAATAACTGCTTCCTTTTAATGCGAAGGCATTGCGGAGAACTACCATTCACAATCCACTATGTTTTGTAGCCGCCTTGAAGCTATTTCGCAGCCATCCCTTCTCTTGAAAAAAAAACCCAGTTGTGAACAGGTAAAACAGCATTTTAATTGGGTATTTTATAACTATTAATATATTGATTATTGCTGACTGAAATTCTTAGAGTGTTCTTGATTTTGTTTGGCATTTTTCGTATTCAAATATAGGTCAGTGTCTACATGTCACCTCCTTTACGGCTTACCACATTACATTGATCATGATTTTGATTTTTGAGCTGCCATAATTTTGAAACAAGGGATAAATTTCTGAGGGTATGTCACTTTAGTACATTTTTATCTTTTCTGGCCTTTACTTTTCTTGTAAAATAGAATGTACATGTTTTTTTTCAAATTCGAGTGTTTAAATGAGTAGTTTTGTCTCAGACAGAGAATAGAGAGTAGATGTTTAAGCAGTCCTTCTCTCTCTAGGTTTTTTTATACCTCAATTTTTGGAAAACGGGGTAAGCAGCCCCGACCTTGTGACGTTCCTCACGTCACTGCCCACTGCTGGCAACTGGTTTTTGGCCTGAGCGTTTGTGAGCTGAAGACATCTCAGCTGCGCCTAGCCGTAACTGGAAGAAGACCACTGTCCAGATCTGTTTAAATATTTGTAAAGCCTTCGTACCTATACCCATTTCTCGAATTAGTGGATCGGCGAACGAGGCCCCAACGAGTGGCCGTCGAGATCTCTGGACCTAAGTCCTTCTTTGGGGGCATTTGAAAAATAAAGTTTTTGGTACGAAGCCAGATTCCATTCACGATCTTCGTCAGCGTATTACGACTGAATGCAGACAAATAACTCAGACATGAGTCTGGAGAATAGATTCGAACAAAATCTTATTATTGCACGGAGGTAAATGGACACCACTTTCAGCACTTGACACATTGTCCTAACTTTTATAGCAAATAATTTTTACGTCAAATTTAACGTGTGTGTAAGTTGTTTGCTTGTTTTTGTGGTACGACCTTTTTGCTGGGCCACCATGTATGTATAGTAAACTTGTATTCTTAATAACTATTATTGTTGCTTGATAAAGCACAGGCGTGAGAAATACTGAGTCAACCTACTATTTTTTTAACAGTTAATGAACCCGTATTTCTTGATGGAACAAAGGCCGAGATATTATACACAACCTAAATCCCTAGATGTTGTTGCCATGTTGATATTTTGGCGAGTGTTTTTAAAATAAGGGTATTGATTTAGAAACTTCCATGAGAAAGCCGTCATCTGGAGAGACACGGATTTTTTAATTGAAAAGGAACTGGGGTAAGGGAAGAAGTAATGACTTGACACTTCACAACCCTTTACAAGCAGATCTGTGTAAATTTTTTTGTTTGACAAGGGGGCAGTCACTTCCAGCACTTTTCCGCGTTTCCGCTTTCGAACAAAATTTAATAGCAGCTCATTTCTGCTTGACGTGCCAACAGCGAAACATCTACAACCGAAGTTGATGCTTGAATATCGAATTTTAATTATTATTTATTCAACGTACTGTTATTTATTTCTCAGGAACTTGATAAACCCATTTAAGTACATGTCTAACTGACCGTATCTCCCCTTTGCTGCGTAGATCCCTTATCAGGGATAACACAGACCGAACAATTTTGGGATAAGGCATGTCCAAGGGTTACTGTAGAGGATTAATGGATGCTCTATCATCTGACTATCTGTATTTTTGGAGATCTTGAAGTTGAGTCGAAAAAATAAAAGTTAGTAAACATCACCCGGTACGTAGCAGTGTTTACTTGTTTGCAGTCAGTAGGCAGGAGGTCGTTTCAAGTTCTCCTGAAGATGAATGAAATTACCACATACATCTAAAAATCATGCAATTCAAAAACTCAATCAACCTGCCTTAATAGCTAGATAAAAACTAAAGTGATCGGAATTCCTAAATGTTTATGTTTTGTGCTCAGTATTACCATATAAAATGTAATAGTATAGAGAATGAATATGCAATATGATATGGAATGACATACCTCACATCTGCTTACGGCTTCCAGGAATCTTACCTGAAACAAAGAAAATATTCATTACTGAGATGAAATACCTACACGTTATTCTAGTTTGGAAAGCTTGTGGAACATATCTTATTCGCCGAAACTCATTTCTCGTTACGTCAGGCCTTTTGTCATGCCTATGCAACTAGCTCACAAGTGTAGCAATAACTCCCGCTTTCGAAAAGCTCCAGACTTATGATTTTTTTGTATATATGTAGTTATTATGGACTAGAACGTGAATATTGACTAATGCTAATAAAACAGTAAAGTATACTAAGTGACATATAAATCCGAACGCCCCAGTTTAAATGGTTTTATTTTAATAAAAGTGGTGAATGTATTTATCTTACTGTAAATAACAAGTGAAAAAATTTTCAGCCCTATCAGTTGGACATTCCGGTTTTATACTGCTTTTTTTTAATTCACTAACGCTCTAAAAATGAATATTCAGCCGCAGTAAAAAATTAACGTTGGCGGATTTTGGTTCTTGACATCCTTTACGATTGGTTACGATGCCTAGAGTACGGAGACCTGTACGATTTCGTCAACTTAGTGAGTTTGATAGGGACCGTATAGTGGGACTTCGGGAAGCTGGACCTTTTTTTCGGGCAATTGCAGTTAGAGTGCAAAGAAGTGTAGGCGCTGTGGTTAGGTGTTGTCACTCATGGCTTCGAGAAGGCCGTACGCAAAGAGCAAGGGCACTGGACGCCGCCGTAGAACAACAGACCGTGAAGATCGCCGCCTAAGATTATTGGCCTTAAGGGACCGTTTCTCCACTACCAGGTCCATTGCAAATGAATGGTTTGCAGAACACGGAAGACCTATTGGCATGCGAAGTGTTTACCGACGAATGAGAAGTTTTGGCTTGTTTTCATACCGGCCACACTGGGTCCTCCCTTTAACTCGAGAATACCGACGTAATCGCCTTGAGTGGTGCAGACAACGATCACTCTGGGATCAGGAATGGAAAAGTATTATCTTTAGTGACGAGTCTCGATTTTGTTTAGGCATGCACGATGGTCGTGCCAGGGTTAGAAGGCGACGTGGTGAAAGGAGGAATCCACAGTTTTTGTTGAAATACATGTTCATCACACCGTTGGAGTTATGGTTTGGGGTGCTATAGCTTATGGTTCCAGGTCACCTTTAATCTTCATCAGAGGTAACATGAACGCGCAGCGTTATATCCACGAAGTTCTAGAACCCTATCTTCTACCCTATCTTGATACCCTGGCAGATCCAACTTTCCAACAAGATAATGCCCGACCACATGTTGCAAGAGTCACAATAGACTTCTTTCAACATAATGATGTCACATTGTTACCATGGCCACCAAGATCTCCCGACTTATCCCCAATTGAGCACGTGTGGCATATGATAGGTAGGAGATTGCTCAATATGCAACGTCCTCCTCAGACTCTGAAAGCACTTCGAGAGGAGTTGGCGGTTGCCTGGAATGAGATACCACAGGAGGACATTGACAAGCAGTGCAATCATTTTGAAATTTTTATCATTTACTTATTATGCTTCATTAAGTACTTATACAAAATTTTATTAAAATAAAACCATTTAAACTGGGTGTGCGGATTTATATGTCACTTAGTATACATGGTTTGTACAGCGAAATACTGTAACTGTCATAAAATGCTACAGCTATTGAAGTTGTCAAGTTTAGTAGGGAACGCCTTCAGCCAGATTTTTCCATAACTTGATACCCCGTGGATAAAGCAGTGTTTGTACTGACAAAGGGTGATCGCTTATTTGAGCTCCAGATCATTGCATTACCAGTCAATGACAAACTTGTCATTCATCAGGGAGGCAGTCACTTTTTCTTTTCGCGGAGATCAGTCTGGTGCTCTTTATTCCTATATGCAAAGTGCTGTCTTCCAAAAGGTAGCAGATCGTCACTTATATAAAAAATACAAAATAAATGTCAGCGTTTATATGTAGCAGTTATATTATAGCCTTACTCAAATGTCTTCTTTCGTACGTTCTAGAACTCCAAGTTTCATCGATAGCGTACTCATCCTCCACACAAGCTGCACGAAGGCTTCATTTAATTGCCCTTCTCGTGTGCAGTCTCCAGATTTAATTGAAACTGATAATTATCAGTCACCTGCCACGTCAGCCTATCTCCGCCTCCGACCTATAATCCTCAGCAGCCCTCTACTGCTTGGCATCTTCACGCCTTCCGCACGGGAATTACGTATCTTAAAAAGCGACATTTTGTCGGACTTTTTTACTTTTTTTTAGGTTTTTTAGATAACACCCCTACTTGTAGTTTAACGGGGCTTATTGTAGCTCTAGACCAGTGGTCGCCAACCTTTTCAACGTGTTGAGCTACTTTGATAATTCTGGAATAAACAGAGCTACCTAGTCGTAAGCAATGAAAGTCAACTTAAAAGAAATTATACTCAGTTGTGTGCGACGTAAATAATAATGAACTTAAATAAAATAATTACTAATACATACTACATAACCAAATGCGTGTTCAATGAGAAGCCTGACACTAAGACTCACTGACAATTTTTTTAATGTTTGGAGTATAATTTGATACCGCTATTCGAATACAATTATAAAAATGTTCATCTGTAAGTCGTTTACGGTATTTCTTTTTCCTAAACTTCATCATTGAAAAAGAGGATTCACACAAATCGGTTGAATTAAATAACGCTTTCACTTTCAAAGCAACACGACATAAAACTGAATATTAATCTGTACTTACTGAAGGCCAGATACATTCTGTATTTGAGACTAATGATTTTAGAGCTAAATCATTTTGAAACGGAATCACTTCCGTTTCTGTCGCTGCGATGTCTTCGCTAAAATTCTGCGTAACAGAAGTTGCGAACTGCTGGATATCAATTTCCATGAAAGGTGAAACAACAAATTGCGCCACTATAGGAATTTCGTTGAAATCCTTGAAACGATTTTTGAAGTTATCCTTCAAGTTAGAGACTATTTCTACATGATGCAATGGACTTTGAGGTATCTTTTCTGAAGGAACAGGAAAATGCCTGGTATTGCCATCGATTAAGTTTTGTTTTGTTCTAAAAACTCGAGTTTTTTGATAAGCGCTTTTATATCAGAAATTTCTGCTAGTTATTTGCCTCTCTCCTGAAGCTGCAAATTAAGTTCATTTAATTTTTCTGTAATATCCACAAGAAAATCAAACTCTCTGAGCCGGATTGAATTTTCCAGTTCCGGAATCGGTTCATCACTATGGCAGATATCATTAAAATGTTACAGAATTCGTCCCCTACTTAACCATCGGACTTCAGAGTGAAGAAGTAGCATTGACAATCAATTTCATCGGCCACTGAACAATCTTCTTTGTAACGCTTGAGCTCAAATCTTGTTCACAATTTTTACTACCAATTTCAAACGTTGTTTGCTGATGGATAATGCAGTGGTAACAGAGAAATTGCGGAAAACTTTCCTCTTTACGAGACCCTGTCACGACCCACCATAGCTGGAGCGCCATCGGTTGTCGAGCCTACCATCTTCGATATTGGAATTTTCTCAAAAGTAATAATATGTTTAGAAGAAGAAAACAAGTCGTGGCCAGCAGTCTGTCCTTTTAGTGGAATAAACTTCAGAGGATCTCCTTTAATCGTAAAATCACTAAAAACCATCCTGACGAACACTGTCATCTGAGAGGTGTCAACGACATCGGTGGATTCATGCAGCAGTAGTGAAAAATAAGCACAGTTATCGAAGTCATTTCTTAATTGTAAAACTATTTCATTACTCTTACTCGTCTCATCACTGTATTAGCAGAAAGTTGCATAGATTTTATAACAGGCACTATCTCGTCTTTATTTCTAAAGTTGGCAAATAATGAATCCGCAGCTTCTAAAAACGCCTGTTTTATAATTTCCCCGTCTTCATAAGCTTTCTTCTTTTGTGTAATTATCTGGGACACCTGGGATGATGCTTCTGTTGCAGCCTTACTTTTGTCGATTGTTTTTAAAAACATAGTCGGTTGTCCAATAAACTGATTTTTTTACTGTTTACTACTACTACTCATATTGTTCATCCAAAGTCTGCAGAATGACAAAGTTACCATGCAAAACTGACTCGTTGCCAGAAGGTGAATTTTACAACGCAAAATAAATGTTTTAATGAAAGTTAAATTAACTTAAAATGTTCGTTCAGAAAATAAACTGTCTTTTGTTAATTTGAAAAGCAGTATACAATTTTTGTTTGTCATTTTAAAAAAAATAGTTCAGCTTTGCTAAATTGTCGCCTTATTTCTTGGAGTAGCAGTTAAACGGCTAATTTAAATTGTAACTTACGACAGAAAGTTAATGCCTTGAATTAGAAACCGTAATTTTACATATAATAATAATAATAATACTTATTACCCTCATTAAACAGTATATACAAAGTTTACAAACAAAAAAAAGCCTTAAGAGAATAAAGAGCTACATCAGCTTGCCCCTTAAAGAAGCAGCTGCTAGAGCCAAAAAAAAAAGAAATTTAAACAATTCTATAGTAATACAAATGGCTATTAAGACATTGATAATCAATAATGTTTTAATATTAAGAAATATAGCCATTAATAGTAAGTACAGAAATGGAAATTTAGAGTGAGAAGGGAAAGCGAGGGGAAAGAGAAGAAAAGAAAAGGGGGAGCAGGAGATGTGTTTTCTATGATATCTGAGATAGTAAATCACTTTTAAGGTTCCTCTCAAATGTAGCTACCGAGAGAGAAAAATCTTTAATTTTGAATTTATTTACCAAAAAGGCAATTTGATATGAGAATGATTTCTTAAATGATTCTTTATGTGTGATGGTATTGTAATCAAATTCAATCTTCTAATGTTTAGATTATGTATATCAGTCCGGTAACTAATTTTTAAGTGAAGATATGGGAGGCTTTCATATTTTATAATCTTGTAAAGAAGGAAGTAGAGTGCAAGGTACGCCTCTGAGCCATATTCAACCATCCCAGTTCAGGTAGTTTGTGCTATACTCTTTGTCTACCGCTTATGCCAAATATCAGTCTCAGACAAGAATCACACTATCAAGGAATGGGCCATATACCATATCAGAAAAGTTGAAGTGGGACGACACTAAAGCTTCGCAGAGCGTGGCTTTAGTATTTTGTGATAGGTAATGTCTATGGGTGTAAATTACTTTTAGCATTGAATATGCTTTTATTAGACATAGAGTAATGAGCTCTCTAAACTTAAGTTTAGAGTCAACCACTAAGCCCAAATCCTTCACGGAATCCCTAAATGATATATTGTCCCCTAGCTTGAGCTTAATATTGTTTTCTAATACGTTTCTGTAGGAATCACTACAAAACAATATAGCCGTCGATTTACTAGGGTTTATCTTTAACAGGTTTTGAGAAGGCTATTCAAGTCGGTATTCAGTCGGTCCAAAAGAGGCATAAATTTGAGTGTGGTCAGCGTAAAGATGATATTGACAATAACTTAGCGACTTCATGAAATTAAAAGTATATAGGCTATACAATAATGGACCCAAAATACTGCCCTGGGGCACCCCTGATGTAATTGTAACTGTATCCCGTCCAAAGTCACGCGCTGCATCCTTTCAGTTAAAAAAGAATTTATTAATGCATAGGTCGGCTGCTTTAATCCAATATATTTCAGAATAGCCACTAGTATCTCATGATTAATCATGTCAAATGCTTTCGTGTAGTCCAATAACACCAAGACAGTAGCATTTCCCGCATCCTGTTCTCTGATGATATCATCCACAAGATCTGTTAATGCTGTGGAACAACTGTACCCGGTTGTCTCCTGGACGTATGATTATCTTTTGCGCTCGTTATTATATGATTATCTTTCTAGGGTTAAATAAGGGTTGTAGTTTCAACTATTCTTGACGCTTACTTCCTGTTTTCTCTCTACGGCAGTGCTTCGCCACCAGCCCACTCGCGGAGATTGCTCCATAAATAAGAACTGTAATTTCAACCATTTTTTGAGGTTCTAGATGGCTTTAGACGCTTATTTCCTATGTTAAAAGGGGATTTCTCAGTGCCACCGCTGCTGGCTCTACCGCCGGCTTGTCGCCTCCACACCACCGTTCACAGCCAGTTCGCGGAGATTCCTCCATAAATAAGGGCTGTAATTGATCGGCTGCCGGAGGCGATGCGCGCAAGAGAGACGATAACTGAGGTGAAGGAACATTTGATAGTGCCAGCGCGTTCTTGGTAATGTTATGTTTGAGGAACATAGGAAAGCATTTGTTATATACAGTCTCCACTCAAAAAGGATATTGCTTCAGACACAGACCATTTTTAAATCGTGGCCAGCACTTTTTTGCTACCCATTTACATCGGACTATAAAGCCCAAAATTAGGTGTTGAGCTTTTGTGGTTATGTGTCGCAATTAGTTGCTATTGCTGGTTAGACTATGTGTTTCCAAACAGTTGAACATGTTATTCGGTGAACTTTGTGTTTATCTGAAATCTAACAGTAGTTGGAGCTTCATCAGAAACTTTATACACTAATACGCAATACCTGTAGAGTGTGCATATACTCGTATAATAATTGCAAGCGAATTGTTTCATGGTACTTACAGTATAATGTATTTAACAGAAACAATAAGTCATGGTATTATTTTATGTTACCTTTTATCATCAAATTTGTAGAACATCTACACTTGTCAAAAACATACACATTTCCTTATGATCTCCACTCGCTCTGACAAAGCCATAAACTTTGCAATCAGCGATAACCTATTTAGCCTTAGGACTCCACGATCTGGCCGAATCAAACCAGATGTATGCTTCAATGAGTCGTATTCATAAAAGAGAAGCATATCCTCGGCATAAGGTGTTGCTGCCGAGAAAAAGGTAGAAGTATAAGCATACCCTTGTTTTCATATTCATAATGATTACCTTATACTCGCGAGGATATCCTCAAAGACGAAGTAAAACGTTGACCGGTATTTGTATCTTGAGCGACAGGTCCTGACTTGTTCCAGCTTGTAGTTGACGTGGGAGTTCGTTCACTTAGCATCACCGACAGTTGTACTCCAGAGCTTACACTGACCGTTCCGTATTTTTAATTTATGCAGTTTTTTATCAAATTAATAAGCATGTCATCCTCAAGTGATGAGGCAACTATAGAAAATAATGGCAACGACCTGAAGTTCATCGCAGATATATTCTGGAATCATGCACTGATCGAGGCCAACTGACATCAACACTTGTGAACATCTCTCTGGCATCACAAGTGGATTGCACACTTAAAGTAGGTTTCCCTTTTCGGTTGATATACTCATCTCCATGGCGATTCGTTTTCAGGATTCCGATATGTGTACAATCAATTACACCAATTGGATTTCCTTCAAAATTTGCAAGTACAAGGATATCCTTCGTTTTATGAATCCGGCTCATTGTCTCTATATTGTAGAACGTATCGGTCACCATGGTGGCGTTTTTCAAGTACAACGACAATCAATGACGGTATATTTTTGTCTATCTGTATTCCAGGTGATAGTTCATTCATTATGTATTTCCTTCATTCCTACACAGTGTGCTGTGACAATTAGTCTAACCATATTAGACGAAAATACCGCTGGCTTGCGCAATAATTGTCTGGTTTTATTGCTGCAAGTTGTTCAAGAGGACATAGACGCATCAAAAAGGGTACACAAATTTTTACGTGAAAACTTTTTATTTGACAACAAAGAATGAGAAAACGCGTTTTTTGGGATTCAATCGAAAGTGATGGCAAGAACGAAACAACTCTTCATATAATATTTGTAAGTATTTATGAGGCCTACAAAATGAGATTACACATAAAAAGAGGCGACCAATAGCAAGAGAGTTATGGCCGAAAATCGAGGTAAACTGCAGGTTTTCGCACTTGGTAATGAGGTTTTCTTTCTTCATGTTCGTAGAATTCGTACTTCATAATATCCATTGGAGTAGATTGGTCAAGTAGTTTTTGAGAATTTCTAATTGTTTATCCCAAAACACCTGTCTTCCGGCAATCACTACTAGTTTATTGAGCAATATACAGGGTTAGTTCAGAGGGCATTTTTATAGCAAAATACACTAGTTTACCCTGCCGATGTGAATCGCAAGCCACTCCGGAAGATAAATGTTATTTTTATGCAAAGAAGGATGGGTTACGTTTTTTCTTCTAAACAAATTCAAACATTTCGTATCTGTGAGTAATTCGCAACAAAAGATGATAGATACATCCGCTTTGTTTTAAAATGTGTATAGTAACGCATTATTTGAATATCGTAGTGCAAAAGAATACAAAGTGATATAGATATAATCATTCTATCCGAAACATGGCAAGTGGGCGATGTGACTCTGTTTCATTTAGAAGGGTACGATACATTGTATAATTTTGGTAACCATAATCAAAACGATGGAGTGATGGTGTATGTACGAAACAATCTACCTTATAACCATACCATATTTACAATCAACAATGAACTAAAAGGTATCAATCTAACAATGCAAATTGAAAATCGTAGAGTCAAAATTACTTGTGTTTACCGACCACCATCTTCAGATCCTCATACATTTATAAGAGACATAGATGAACTATTAAAAAACAATGAAAACAATCACCTTCATAATCAAATATTTATAGGCGACATCAATATAAACATTTTAGAGGAAAATTCTATGGTGAAAGAATATTTAAACATTTTATCAAGTAATGGTTTTTTATCATACATAAATAAAGTAACACGACCCACCAGTAAAACCTGCATTGATCACTGCTTTATAAAGGATATTTCCAATAATTTTTCTTACCTGCCTATTATCTATGAAACCGATATTACAGATCATTATTCCACTGTATTATTGATATCTTCACAAAATAAAAACCAGAACTGCCCAAGGACAAAAAGTGAAAGAAACCTTGAATACAAATATTTCACTGACAACTCAAAATTAATATTTATCGCACAAACGGAATCGTGGGACGAAATTTTTTTAACAAATTCTTTAGACGAAGCTACAAATTTATTAATACACAAAATTCTAAAAGTAATTGAAGTTAGTACTAATAAGGTTAAAATAAGTCACAAGGAAGAAAGCAGAAATGATTGGATGACCAAACGACTAATAAAATCTGCAAACGAAAAAGAAAGACTGTATAAAATCATGAAATATTTACCCACGAAAGAAAATATAGATCATTATAATCAGTATAAAAACAAATTTATAGAACTTTTAAGAAAAGCAAAAAAAAATTACTATATAAAACAATTGAATAATAATTCACATGACTCTAGACACCTATGGTCCACTGTCAATGATATATTCAATAAGTCATCCTATTCAAAAAACAATATTAATGAAATAAAAACAAAAACAGGACAGAAAACAGACAATATTCAGCAAATATGTGATGAGTTCATAGAATTTTTCACGAATATAGGAGGAAACTTAGCAAATAATATCAAACAAAATGCTGATATTCATCTGCATGAAACAAGACTGAATAATTCATTTGTATTAACTGAAGTAGACTATCAGGATGTTTTCAATGCCATTATGACTCTAAAAAATAAAAAAAGCCCTGGAATTGACGAAATTAGAGCTGAACATCTAAAGATACTGGCCAAACAAATAACAGAACCACTTGCTTATATCATTAACAAATCCTTCCAATCTGGAGTATTTCCATCAGCTTTCAAGACAGCAATCATCATACCTATCTATAAATCTAATGATAATACGGACGTCACTAACTATCGACTTATTTCACTTATATCAAGTTTAGCTAAATTTTTTGAGAAGTTACTCCTTAATAAAATGATTAATTTTCTTAATAAATTCAAAATTCTAAATTCAAATCAATATGGTTTTATAGCGGGCAAATCTACAACAGATGGGGTATTAAGTATAGTAGATGAAATAACCCAAAATATAGATGGAAAAGTACCATCGATATGCGTATTTGTGGACTTACAAAAAGCGTTTGACACAGTTAACCACAATATACTTTTGGAAATCTTAGAAAGAATAGGTTTTCGTGGATAGATGTATACTTTAATGGAAAATTATTTATCAAATAGACCGCAATCAGTAAAATTATTAAGCTCGTATAGTAAAGAAATGTTTGTTAAATGTGGTGTTCCACAAGGTACAATTTTGGGTCCTCTGTTATTCAATATTTATTTAAACGATATATTCAAAATTAACAGTACTGGTAAAATAGTCAGTTTTGCAGACGATACTGCTATACTCTATAAAGGTAAGGATTGGAACGACCTAAAAGATATTATCCAAAATGACTTTTGCAAAATTATTCAGTGGTTTAATAACCGAAAATTAACAATTAACTTTACTAAAACTCATTCTTTACCATTTTCATCACTATCTAATCATCTACCAAAATATAACCACCTTCGGTTTAAGGTAAATGATAAAAATATAAAAATCAATAGAGTTAATGATACTAAATATTTAGGAATTTATCTAGATCCCCACTTGAGATGGGATGTACATATTTCTCACATACTAAAGAAAATTAGATTCATAGCATATAAAATAAAATTTCTAACCGGTATATTAACTGAATATTATCTACGAATAATATATCAAGCTTTAGTCGAGCCACACATAACATATGGTATAGTAGTGTGGGGTGCTGCATGCACGACATACTTTAACGATCTAGATGTACTTCAAAGAAGAATTTTAAAATCAGTGTTAGGCAAATCAAAATTATACCCAACTAATGACTTATATAATGATGCACAAGTATATGATACTAAACAACTTTACTTCTTACATACCATCACTCATTATCACAAAACTATTAGTGAACACGACATAATTAAACATAATCATAAAACCAGATATAAATTACGCGCAAAAAATGTTCCTAAACCAAACAAATCCCTAATGAAACGATGTCACCTATATATAGCTCCAAAATTGTACGAACATTTACCAAATAATGTAAAACAATTACGCAATACATTAGGCTTCAAAAAAAAATTAAAAAAATTTATTAACACGATTGGGAGAAATCAAATTAATAAAATAATCTCAAATATTACACAATAAATGCTCTACCATTCTTACCAATAATTTCTTTTTTCTCTATTTTATTATATTTTGCAATTCAACATACATATGATCCATGCACAGGCGTTGTCCTCCTATGGATATATTATATTTATTTACTCGTTTCATGTTCCCTGTATTTTAGAGTAAATAAATATTATTATTATTATTTGTTCAATTACTCACAAATTCGAAATGTTTGAATTTGTTTAGAAGAAGAAACAAACGTAACCACTGTTTTTCGTATAAAAATAACATTTATCTTTCGGAATGGTTTTTGATTCATATCGGCAAAGTAAACACGAATATGTTGCTATTAAATGTTCTTTGAACGAGCCCTGTATATTGCTCAATAAACTAGTAGTGATGGCCGGAAAATAGGTGTTTTGGGATAAACAATTATATATTCTCAAAAAAACACTTGACCAATATACTCCAATTTTGTTGTTGTTATTTAGGAGTATCAATCCTACGTATTTGAAGAATTTCAAGTAGTTGCGTATCGTCGCATTACCAACAAGTGCTAAAACATTTTGCATTTTGCCTCGTTTTTCGGCCATAACATTTTTGCTATATGTAAGTCGGATCTTTTCACGTGCGGTCTCATTTTGTAAGTTTCATAAATACCTAAAAATCTTATTTGAAATTTATTTCGCTTCTGTCAAAACTTCCGACTGAATTCTAAAAAATACGTTTTTTCATTCTTTGTTGTCAAATAAAAAGTCCACAAAAATTGGTGTACCCATTTCATACGTCCATGTTTTAAATGCCCCCTTGAACAACTTGCACCAATAAAACCAGACTTTACAATTATTTCGGGGAAATTTGCTAATATGATTAGACTAAATAGATTCAACTGCCTTGTAGCATATTACTTCAGTATTTAGAAAATAAACACGTACCAAGGTATTTATATTTTAATTCAAATCATTCAACTAGGCCTTGATGTATATTTGACAAAGCCAAACAAATATCAAGTCAGTCAATGTTCGGTAGAGTAAAACTTTTAGTAGTTACTGTTCAAATCTAGGCAAAGTTTAAATAGCAAGAGAGCTGTAGCTAACTTCACTCTCAGAACATCATGGCTCATTTTCAAGAACCTGAAAAGCTGGGGTTCCGGCACGTAGTTATCGTGGCAAACTTGTCAAAATTGTCATCAAATATATTCCAATGTGGTCGTAAAAAGGACTGGGGAAGCATTGTTTTCAGTCAAAAATGGGCCTTTCCAGGATTTTAGATCAGTGACTCATGCGCCAGATTTATCTAGGAGATTTTAAAGCTTCTCGATACATTTCCATTTTTGCCTCCCGTGAGAAAGAAACTCAGTAAGTAATAAATAAAAACAACACTGAAAAAAACATTTTTTAGTCGCAAAGTGGGTTTTCTAGGCTTCCTACATTCCAGAAAGAAACCAAAAACAGATTCGTGAAATACGCACCCGACTTACCCAAGAAACAAGTTTTTGAGATTTTTCGTTCGCGTTATAGAGACATGATGCTTTTTTGACAATCGTATTCATTTTAAATTTTAAGTTGTAGTTATCCAACTTGAGAGCTATCCTGCGTTTATAAAACCGAGCCTAATTGAGGTTGTTCCACTGAATGAGTAAAAAGTAGATAATAACGATGAGGTGAGGTCGCACTACGTTCATAAGATTTAGGATCTTAAGATTGTCCTGTAAGTGATTTCCCTAACTGTTGGGCAATAAACGCTATTTATTTATATTTATTTATTTATAAGACGCTCCGTTCCGATTGTGTCGGGGTTCAGTTCAGGGGCGGCTAGCCCTTAAGTTCTGCAGAGGGGCAGAACTGCCAAAACTTCTGTCTTAACAGAAAAAAGCCGTAGTAATTCGATCATTATTTATTTTCCATGTAATCACACAAATAGAAACAATACCGGCCTGCCCCCGTAAGACACGGCGTCGAGTCTGTTTTGCAGCATTATAATCGACCAATTGTGTACTTGTCATTTTTGTCGCGACCGCAGCGTAACATTATTCATGGGCCACTTGAAAAGAGTCTGTGCACTACTTCGACACACGCTGCACGCGCTTGCTTTTGTCTCTCTATACAAAATCAAATGCGCGATTTAAGCATAAGCATGTGTTGCAATTTATGCAGATCCGTACAGATCTAATGCGAAGTCCGATATCTGATTGGTCGGTCGGTGCTCGGTCCTCGGTATTGGCGTATTGGTCTTGTCGCGTGACGTGGCTTAAAATTTGAATGCGAAAATTTTTTTATTCGGGTATTTTGGATCTTACGTTACGTTGAGTGACTAGTGACTCACCGACTGTGTGGCTGTGTAGAAGGGTAGTGCAAGACAATGGATGTGGTTTACAGACTTATCAGCGTGAAACGATTCTGGAAATACACATTTGAAGAAAAAATTGAGCTGAACGTGTCAGGTCGACCGCTGCCGAACATATTTATAGAAACACAGGGCGTTAGTTGGGGCAAGGGCTATACGCGGAATTTCAGCAGGGAGATTTACAAGATTTGTGGGTGCAATAGGAAGAATGCCCTTTTCTGCTTTCCTTGCATACTTTTCGGGGATGACAAAGCTTGGACGGAGGTAGGTGTTACAGATTTAGTGCACCTGAGTGAAAAAATTAAGAAGCATGAAAACTCTAAAGCACATCTTCATAATTCGATGGAATTGACTTTATTGGGGACTTTTAACATCAGAGCTCAGTTAGATTCAGCATATTGGAAAAATATACAACAGCATAATGATACCGTTACAAAAAACAGGTACGTTCTATCAAAAATAATCGATTGAATAAAATAAAAACCGAGAGCTCCCAAACCCGGGAATATTTCGTGGACTGATTAACTTTTCTACTGAGCTTGATACAACCTTAAGCGAACACATAAAAAATGCTTCAATATTTAAAAGAACTTCGAAAGAAATACAAAACGATCTACTGGATTGTATTCTTGAAGTTTGTCGTAAAAAAATAATAAAACAGATTACCAGAGCCTGGTATTTGGCGATAATAGCAGATGAAACAACGGACATTTCGGGGAAAACCCAACTGGTAACAATTTTTCAGATACGTATTTAACGGCGAACCAGTAGAACCTTTTTGGAATTATATGAATCCCGAAAAATCTGACGCTGATACTCTCATAAGACATATTTTGAGCGTCGTAGATCCATTAATAGGAAATTTCCCTAACAAACTGATTTCACAAAGCTATGACGGAGCCGCGGTAATGAGCGGACAAAATGCTGGAGTAAAGGCAAAAATTAAACAAAGATATCCATTTGCTCACTATGTGCATTGCTATGGGTATCAGTTAAACCTGGTTATGTCCCAAGCTGCTTACCCAAAAGCTCAAGTTCGGGTGTTCTTTCGGAATTTGAAAGATATTCCGGGATTTTTAATAATTCTCCTCAACGCGTAGAGGTACTGAACAGAATTGTGGGAAAAAAATTCCACGAAGAGCAACAACTCGTTGGAATTTTAATATTCGAACAATAAATGTAGTGTTTGGGAACAGATAGTCACTCATTGAATGCATGGAAGAAATAGAAGAATATTTCACAAATGAACCCGTTTGCAAGGCAGCTTGCGGTATTCTGTTTTCGTGTTTTGGTTGACATTTTTTCATCATGTCATGCCTCACGTGGACATCTTGTTCAACCAGTTGCAGAAGAGAAAAACCGAGCCAGCGCAAGTTAAAACGGCTATCGATAATTTTGATAAATGTATTGTCGATGTGAGAAATAGAATTGATGACATAATAAATGAAGCCAAAAGTATTTGCACAGAACCCCAACGCAACAAAAGGAGACGACGTAATAATAGCAGTCACGATCACCGAGTTGCCACATTAGAAGTATGCGACAATATAGTGAATTCTGCAAATGACAGATTTCAATTCAAAGATCATTTGGTAGCCGCATCCCTTTTTTCCCCAAACACTTTGGAGAATACTGTGGTAAGTTTCCTGATGACAAGTTGGAAACTACCTGCTTGGCTTATCCCGAACTAGATAAAAGTCGTTTAAAGACAGAGTTGTCTGTTATTTATGCACGGAATGATTGCCGAGATTTACATGGAACTCTGTCTCTTTTGAAATTTTTGATACAAAATAGTTTAGAGGAAATACTGAAAGAAACAAAAAAGTTATTAGAAATTATTGTTACAACTCCTATGTCAACATCAGAGGCTAAGCGAAATTTCTCAACATTGAAAAGAATCAAGACTTTTCTTCGTAATACTATGACCCAGGATCGTCTTACAGCGTTGTGGAGGCTGTCCATTGAAAAGGAATTTATTTCGACCATGGAAAATTTCAACGGGAAGGTGATCGACACATTTGCTGCCAAGGAGCGCAGGATCGAACTGACATATAAAAAATAGGTAAGTTCGAATTTGCAGAAAACCTGTTTTATTTTGCCACTGGTTCAGTTGCTCAAGGTTAAGCAGACTTTCGCCGGTGCGCTGCAAGGGACTGTTAAAAAAATAACTCGCAAGTACTCATAAGTAAACACTGTAATGAAAGTTTGAAAAGGAGGCAGTATAGAACACATCACAATGGCAAGTGAGACCCCAAGTCGACTGTCCCCAGAGCGGCAATGCCTTCACGTGTCAGCCCACCTGGTTTTCATAATCAATAATATCCCCAATTTGGTTGATAAGAATACACCGTTGTTGAATATGCATACTCATCGGCGGATGTGGTTTAGGATACCTGTTCATAAACTAAACGAGCTGTCGCGTGTAAAGCCTTACAGGGTGGTCACTCGAGGCGATACGTTTGGAATGTCAAACATCAGCTCATAATGCGATTTGGTATTTGTAGTGGATATAAGGGATGATTGAAAAAGTAGTGACACTCTATGACAGATAGTTTCTGGAAATTAAGCATCATTTGCTCAAGCGTATGTTGTTCCATTGTGAAGCTGATCATGGATAATAACATTTCCAGTGAATGACTAACTATACAATATACTAAGTGCTGGAAAGTACAGACTGGTAGAACTAGGCAGGGGAATGTGAGAGGCAGATCTACGGTCACCAACTTGGCTCTAATTACTCAGTACATTTCTGAAATACTGGACGTTCAGGGAGAAGTTGATGTCATCTACACAGATATTCAGAAGGCGTTCGATCAAGTTGATCATTATGCACTTCTGGATAAGCTTAAAACAGTGGGTATGTCTGATGCAATGCTGTCGCTCATGAATTCATATGTGAGGGATAGAAGGTTATTTGTCGAATATGGTGGTCATAGGTCGAGTTACTATCGGGCCACGTCTGGGGTACCTCAAGTGTCAAATCTAGGTCCATTATTGTTTTTAATATTTATTAATGACTTGTCTTTTGAACTGAAGTGTTTCCATTTGTGTTTCGCTGATGACCTTAAAATCTGCACGTCAGTCAAGACAGTCGAGGATTGCGTCATGTTGCAAGATGACTTAGCTCTAATTTCGTCATGGTGTTCACGAAACTGTCTCAGTCTGAATGTTTCGAAATGTAAAGTTATGACTTATACAAGAAAAGTTAACTATTTAATTTATGATAATTATAACATCAATGGTCAGGTTATAGACAGATGCACCTCTTATAGAGACCTTGGAGTCATTTTTGATACCAAGCTAACGTTTACTGAGCATATACTCAATATCTCGTTGGCTGCCACTCGACTACTTGGTTTCTGTATCAGAAACTGGTTTCTCTAATGTTGATACATTAATGACTTTGTTTTTTACTTTTGTCAGCAGCAAGTTGGAGTATGCGACTCTGATCTGGTCTCCTATATACCAAAATTCTGTCGTGATCCTTGAGGCCATTCAACGTAAGGCTTTAAAGTATTTTCACCTTAAATGCACAGGTTCTTATCTAGAAAGAGGTTGTGACCATAGTGCCCTATTAGAGTTTTTCAATTTGGATTCATTGTCAACAAGACGAAACATATTTGCTTTGTCGTTTTTGTATGGCCTCATTCACAATAAAATTGACTGTCAAAATTTACTTGAAAAAATATGTTTCCGCGTTCCAAGGCTAGGGAGTCGACAACAAACGGCATTCTATTGTCAAGCTGGCCGTACAAATGTTATGACAAAATCGCCAATTAATCTCATGTGCTGCGTCATGAACAGTGTTACTGAATCGTGTGATATTTACAGTGACAGTTGTGCATCGATTATTAACTGCTATAAAATCATCCAATCTTATTTAGAATGTGTGATACTATAGATTTAAGTCCAAGAACCATGTCTCTTTAATTGTTATTTTTTTCAGCGTTTCCTGTAATTGGGTTTCAGCTGTTGGAAATAAATAAATAAATAAGTATCGGAAGGAAAAGGTTGTCGCAGCTCAAGAATATAGCAATCTATGTTTCACCCTTATTTTTTGACTCCGTAAATACAGTTACACCTCAGGATCTATGTTTATAGAAAGCACCCTCATTGCATGTTCTATCCTAGTATTGTTAATAAAAATAGAGAACCTGTGTTGGTATGTACAAGTTTTAGCAATTTTAACTTTAAATCGAAAAGCAACACGCTGTTTGCAATATACTCGTACATATCGAATTGGATATCACATTCAGATTTAATAGACATGTCGTCATAAGCTCTATATGGTGCTTGGAAGAGCATGCGGAAATCAATGAGATTTACACATACAGGGTGAGTTTTTAGGATATAATCGGTTGATAGCTCCGTTATCATAAGAAATATCTAAAAAAGTAGATTAGAAAAATTTAGGCAAGTATAAGCTTCTTCCTCGTATGCATTTTTTTATATAGCAAGTATATTTCAGTATAACAAAAGTGATCTATTCAATGACATATTATATGGCTTGAATCACAATTTTTGAAGATAGAAGGTATTTTGATCGAAATAATTCTCTGTCTTACTCTGTAGACTGTTGGTCACCTATTTTTGAAGACAAAAGCAGCAAACTTTAATTATTCGGCATACACGTATTTTTTCTGATGTTTTGCATCGTCTATCTGTATTCCAAGTTCATTTATTTTTACCTTTATTCGTTTCTATAAAGTGTGTCGTGATAATGGATTGACTGCCCTGTCTCATGTTGTGTTAGCATATTAATTAGATACCCACATTTTGATTCAAATCGCATGTAGTACAAAGAAAGGAGTTTATCTGAAAGAGCCAAACAAAAACCATCAGATCAGTCAAGAGGAGATTTTCGACAGAGAAAAACTTTTTCTGTCAACAATGTACAGGGTGCTTCACAACTTATCCACATATGCACTGTTATGAAAGAAGTTGATTTCTCAAAAAAATGTAATAAAAGTCCTACAGAAATTAAGTTATAAACCTATCATAAATGGAAAAATGAATATCTGTGTTTTGCATTCATCGTCATGATATTAGAACACGCATTAATAATTTATTGTAGCAACTGTTGTACCAAACAATTGACGAAAACAAAATACCAGGAATTTTTTCGTTCTTCATACTGATAAGAACGTGTAAATAAGGTTTAATCTGTGTGGGTGATCTGAATGAAGAACAGTCGATTTTTGTGAAGTTCAAAGTATTTTGCTAGTCTTAGTTTTACGTCATTTATTAATAAAAGTGGCATATATGTACACTAGTGAGGAGTTAGTGGCCATTGTTTTAGTGTACGAAAAAGCAGGGCAAAATACGCGGGCGGCTCCTCATTTGTATGTACACCGATTTCCGAATAGGCACATACCACATCACGAAACATTTAGTTCAATTGTTTTACGTGCACGTACTAGTGGAGATTTGCGTCCCAGATGTGGAGTGGATGGGGGTCGGGTTCGCCGGCAACGCGTTTTAAATGCCGAAGACGAAATTTTGGACATTGTCAAAGAAAATCCGGGAATAAGCAGCAGGAATTAGCACGCCGAAATTGGATTAAACCCGCCCAAGCTTGCGTTACAGTCAATGGAAACAATTTTCAACAGCTTTTGTAAATAAGTGAACTGTTAAACTGTATTATTTTATTATCTCGATTTCTGTAGGACATTTATTACGTTTATTTTTGAGAAATCAACTTGTTTCGTAACAATGCATATGTGGTTAAAATTTGTCGGATAAGTTGTGAAACACCCTGTACTTTACAGTAAAGATTATCATCAAATACTTGTTAAATCTCAAATTGAAAGATTTATACCCCTAAGTCCGCTACCAACCACAACCAGTACACTCTGTATGGCATACGTGAGAGGTTTATCCAGAAAATGGATTATGGAAATAGATTTTTAGCTAGTTGCCTGTCAAAATATTCGAGCTCTAGCAAGATCATATACGAGTAGTTACTGTTCAAATCTAGCCTTATCGACATGATTTCGATGGCAGTTTGAATAGCAAGATAGCTGTAGCTAACTTCACTCCGAAAACCTAGAGTATCAACTTACTCCAAGAACCTGAAAAGCTGGAGGTCAGCCATGTAGTTATCGTCAAACTATACTAAGTGACATATAAATCCGAACACCCAGTTTAAATGGTTTTATTTTAATAAAATTTTGTATAAGTACTTAATGAAGCATAATAAGTAAATGATAAAGATTTCAAAATGATTGCACTGCTTTAAAGCCCTTTGACCTTTAATAATGTGTAGGATGCACCCTGATGTGCAATGTCCTCCTGTGGTATCTCATTCCAGGCAACCACCAACTCCTCTCGAAGTGCTTCTAGAGTCTGAGGAGGACGTTGCAAATTGAGCAATCTCCTACCCATCATATCCCACACGTGCTCAATTGGGGATAAGTCGGGAGATCTTGGTGGCCATGGTAACAATGTGACATCATTATGTTGAAAGTAGTCTATTGTGACTCTTGCAACATGTGGTCGGGCATTATCTTGTTGAAAAGTTGGATCTGCCAGGGTGTCAAGATAGGGTAAAAGATGGGGTTCTAGAACTTCGTGGATATAACGCTGCGCGTTCATGTTACCTCTGATGAAGATTAAAGGTGACCTGGAACCATAAGCTATAGCACCCCAAACCATAACTCCAACAGTGTGATGAACATGTCTTTCAACAAAA